TGAAACAAAAGAAAGATAACCAAACATAACAAAAATTGCGTTGTGTTTTATTATAAATAATGAAATATTACTAAATATTTATTACTAATTATTTAATATCAACAAAATTAAAAAGTTAAAGAAATGTAATAAAAGAGTTAGAGAAATGTAATACAGATTTAAAATAATTTTTTGATTCAAACAATTAAACTATTTTCAAAATATGCATTTGAAGTTTAATATATCAAAGTCCATATTTAGTAAATGTCGCCTTCAAACTTTCCATTGCGCAGTTTTAGACGAATTCTAGTTTATTATTAATAAACTAGAATTCGTCAAAAATTAATGCCTAGAAAATTTTTCCAAACAAAAGATCCACGATATTGAATTTGGCGAGAACTTATTTTAACATAGGTGGGAATAACAAAGTTATTTTCTGAAAATTTAGTTCGATATTTATTAGAAACTTCATTAAAGTAAGATTAAAATTTTACTGGCGATAAACCACGCTTTGCTTTAAACATAAATAGCAACACTTGGTGAATGTTAAGTTTATAAATATTTAAAGCTCCAAGTTCACGCAAGAGAGACTCGCAATATGCATTTCTGTTTGCTCCAAATATTATCCTGCAAGCATGTTTTTATTTTCCATGACAATTTTTCATTTAAAATCACTCCTTGAAAGTTTATTGTCAATTCCCTTTTAATTATTATGTAATTGATTAAAACTTTAGGTTTTATTTTCTAGGTTTTATTTTTAACAGGAATATTATTGGCTTTACTAGGTTTATGGAATAAGAAAAATTTAGTTTTCTCTACATTTAATGAACGTCGGTTACTAATAAACCACTCGTTTATCTTATCTAGTTCTTCATTAAATATTTAAAAAAGAATATTAATATCTTTGTGAGAATAAAATAAATTAGAGTCATCTGCAAATAAAATAGTTTTTTTTTATTATTGTTATTATTTTTAGGATTTTTCCGATAGATATTTCCGCGGTGCTCACAGAGCACCGCGGAAGTGCATTTAGCCAGGAAGTTCGCGCCTTCTTCCTTACCGCGACGCGAAAATATGGCCAGAGGTCGTTTCGAAGCTGCATCCCCTGCTTATAAAGCAGGCGCTCTAACCACTGCACCATGGCCACATAAATATAAGTCATTTATATAAAATAAAAATAGTAATGGTCCTAAAATAGAACCTTGAGGCACCTCACAAGTTGTTAAGTTTTTTTTAATCTTTTGATTCTTTTAGTATGAATTGCTTCCTGTTAGTTAAGTATGATTAAAACCAAAGTAAAATTTAACTTTTAACACCATAGTTTCCTAGTTTTTTAAATAGTATTTCAAAGTCTTCTGTGTCGAAACCTTTGGACAAATCAATAAAAACCCCTAAGGTATAGCTATCACTTTCAAATCCGTTAGATATATGCTTAACTAATTCTATTATTGCATGGTCAGTAGATTCTTTTTAAACCCGTATTGATTACTATATAACATCTTGTTTTCAGTTAGATGTTTATAAAGACTATTATACATAATGCGTTCAATTAGTTTAGAAAAGCAGGGCAAGGCTGAAATAGGTTTGTAATTTGAAATATTAGTCTCGTCACCAGATTAAAAAACAGGCATTATTTTTGCAATTTTTAATTTTTCTGGAGTATGACCTGATTTAATTGAGAGATTAAAAATATGGAATAATGAAGGTTCAATAATATCAAAAACAGATTTAATTACATTAACACTAATTTGATCAATACAAACAATTTTTTTTCAGACTATTAAAAGCATCATGTAGTTCACTTTTGCTTAATTTAGATTGGTCTATAATTATATTAGTCGATGTAAGATATGAATCAAATCTTTTTTTGACCAAACGGAGTTTTTGCTGCTAAGTTTGGACCAACATCAAGAAAAAATTTATTTAGTTTCTCAATAATAATTTCTTTGTTATAAATGAATTTTTCATCAACAAAAAGTTTTTGTGGTAAGCGATTTTTTTTCCCGATTAATTCCTATGATGCTTAATGATGCTCCACGTTTTTCGAGTTTTCGAGTGTTTTTCGAGTGTTTCCGTTATTTTTTCTAGCAATTTAGCATGGTAAATAATTTTTGATTGTTTTTTTGTTTTTTCAAATAAATTTTGATAATTTTTATAAATCATTTTGTTTTTAAAAGTTTTACGTCTTAAATATTTTTCATATAATTTTTGTTTTTTTCTCGATGATTTAAGTAGACCTTTAGTCATCCATGGGGATAGAATTGAAGATTTTATTACTTTTATTTTAATTGGAAATTTATTATACATTTTACAAAATTGGTTCAAGAATAAATCATAAGCATTATTTACCTCGTGCAGTTGTAATATAAGATTTCAATCAACGTATTTGTTTAATAAAGTTTTAAAATGGCATATCAAGGTTTCATTAATTTTTCTCACGAATATTGATGATTCAAGAGGAGCATTATTAGGAGTTACGCTATCAGTAATTATAAATATCGGGAAATGATCCGTTAAGTCGGCTTTGATTATAGGACTTTTATAGCGGCTACTAAAAAAACTGTTAGTTATTACATTATTTAGTAATGTTGATGAGCTTTTAGTTATTCTTGTTGCTTTGCTTATAGTTGGATTAAGATTATATTCAAGAAGAGTATCAATAAAAGATTTTACTTCATTATTTGAAGCATGATTGAACAAGTTAATGTTCATGTCCCCAATTACGTAAGCATGCTTCCGCAGTACATTTTTTGAGCTTAAGAAAGCGCGCATAAGTTTTGAATATTTTGAAACTGCCAGCTGGTTGTCTATTTTGCTGGTTGTCTATAAACTGTCAGCTGTTAACTGTCCATAAACTGTCAACATTCTATAAACGCTGGTTGTCTATTAACTATCAGCTGGGATCTTATTGCTACTTTTATTGCAGAGGAGATAGATAGGGAGGAGCAGGGAAGGGAGAGGCCCAAATTTATAGTTACACTTCTGGGAAATTACAAATATGATTTTAACTAAATTAGAAAAACAATCGTTTAGATTTAAAATCTAAACGATTAGACTTATAATATGGTATGGCAGGAAAACACAGCAGTGTTCAAACTCTTATTAAACTAATAATTCCAAATACACAATGTACAAATCATACTTTAAACCTGGTATGCATGCACACAGCTTCTATTGCTAAAAATTTCGTAATACTTTTTGGAATTATCAAACAGTTGTTTTCATTGTTTTCTTCTTCCACTTGACAATGGTATCTTTTATTTTCTGTGAATGATCAAGGTGTTAAACAGAGCGTAGAAACATGCTAGAGCGCTAGGGCGTTTACTCGTTAACTAGAGTTAAAAATCATATTTTTTACATTTTGAATGTTTTTTAAAAGTTGACATCTGAAAAAGAAATAGAAAAAAAAAATTCCTTTTAAATGTAATCTCAAATTATGGGAACCCGTCATTTTTTTAAAGTTGATTAAGATGTCCTTACGGTCTTCTCACAAAAACCCGCTGAAGAGCATTTATTAGGAAGTTCACGCCTCCTTCCCAACCGATGTCGCAAAACTTGCCCAGAGGTAGGGTTTGACCACGGTCTTATGTTTCTGAGGTAAGTGTGCTACCACTGCATATATTTGGAAAATAATGACGCGCAAAAATACCTGCAAATAAACGGGTTAAATATTCATCAATGATAAATAAGGTAAATTTCTTTGCAAACCAATTTCATGGAGCAAAGAGATGTGCTAACACAAAACGTTGTAACCGCAGTCAAACCAATTCGTGAAAAGTTTATTCAATAGTTTGAATTAAAAAATTCTGTTCTCAAAATTGTAATTTTGCTAAGAGTTTTTAGCAATAATTGCAATCAGCTGTTTTAGAAGTTACTGCTATCAATGTAGTTTGTTGTAAAAGGACTCTCCTTTTTTTGAAACTTGTAAAAAGTAGTTTTCTTTCCTTAATCACTGATTTTCCTTTGAAGTTTCAAAAAAAAAGTTTTCTTAAACTTTTTTTTGAATTACTTAAAAAATGATTTTATGACTTTGGGTTGTTTTTCCTAACTGTCCTTTAATTATTTATGTTTATTAATTTGTAAAAAACCACCACTTGATTGACTTTGAAAGGGTGGCAAATTAGAGACCACTGCGGGCGGCAAGAGTTCTAGGCGCGCCACTGCTTAGTTTACCTAATATCGTGCAGATCATTCGGTGGTACTTTTTAGTATCGACGCACTACTCAATAGAGTTTGGCGGATTGCTTTGCTTTTTGCCAGGTCAATCTATACCTAACATAAAAGTGGTGTTTAGTTGGATATTGTGATGTTAAATTAGGTAATTTATTTTTTCTTTATTAATTTTTAAAATAAAATCATCATTTAATAAAACCACAGTTTAATCATTTTTTTATATTTATTAATTTGATTTCCTTGATTAAAATCATCGAAAAGAATTCTTTTATTCGTGAGCTGCCGTTAGTATCATCTTTATTATGCGCCTCGTTGATTCGCTCCGCCAATTGTACCTGGATTATAAAATCCATCGACATCGCGTGTCGATGGATTGCTTTATTGTAATACGATATTACAAAGTTTTAAATGTTTTTATGTCTTATCTGTTTTAAAATATGTAATATCATAATATAATACTTTATATTAAATACTTTTGTATGTAGTTTTGCGCTATTCAATCTAGGTTGACCTATTTTTAAAGTCTTCAAATATAGGTCAATTTTAAAGAGCAAAATTACATACAAAAGTATATAGTAGTAGTAATAAATATATTATATAGATTGAATATTTTTCAGGTTTTTGATATTATCAAAAAAAAAAAAAAATTTTTTTAAATTTTTGAAAAAAATTAATTTTTCAAATCATAGAAGATTTATTTTTGGTATTTCAGGAACCTCAAAAGTGTTTAAGGGTCGTTGAAGTCCCCTAAAATAGGTACGTGGACTGATTTTTTTAAATTTATTAAATACTAGAATGTTATATATCATTTGAAAGCCCTCAAATACAGTATTTTAAAGGTAAAAAAATTATGAAAATCGGACAATTCTATCAAAAGTTATGACGTTTTAAGTAGCAAATTTTCGATTTATGGATTTCTTGATAAAACTGTGGTCAAAAAAATTTTTTTTTCACATAAATTGTTATAACTTTGCTAATTCTTATTCAAATATCTATAACTTGGTATCGAAAGATAGGTGTAAAAAAGAACTATAATTTTCAATTAAATTTTAGGTCAAGGGCGCATCCAGGGATCCGGAGGGGGTGCTAATCCACCACCTACACCTCACAAAAATACACTTTTTTCATAAAAAAGTGTTTTTCTTTTAAAAATTACAAATATCTATATACAAAAAATTGTTATTTTTTTATTCCACATCACTAGTGAATATTACAAGTCTATCTCAAAGTCGGGTGTTGGGTTTTAAATAAGGTTTAACACCCTATCAAAATTTCATTCTTTTAAATATTTCAATCTTTACTAAAACAATTAATTTTAGTATAAAAAATAAAAAATATATTTCGATACTTGTAAAAATAGTAACTAGTGGTGTATAAATTGACTTCATGGAAGGGGGTGTAGGCCGCCCCCCTTCCGCCCAATACCTAAAAAAAAGTTTTAATTAGAATTTAACAAAAAAAGTTTAAAAATGCTTTTTAACCACATATAAAATAGTATAAAAAACTGTTTTACCATGTTACAGTGGTGTATAAATTGCCTTCATAAAAGGGGGTGCAAACCGCCCCCCCCCTTCCGCCCAATACCTAAAAAAAAGTTTTTATTAGAATTTAACAAAAAAAGTTTAAAAATGCTTTTTAACCACATATAAAATAGTATAAAAAACTGTTTTACCATGTTGCAAGACTGCAAATAGATACAGCAAGTTTTGTGGCTTGCAAACAAGTACAACAAGTTTTGTGGCTTGCCATTAGGTAAAGCAAGTTTGTTGTTGAACTCCAACCTAAAAAAAAAACACAAAGCAGCAAGTCTTTTGAAATAAAAAAAAGTAATTAACTATTGTCTTGGCTTTTAGTAAATGATTTATGTTTTGAATTCCATTTATGAACTAAATAAATCATTTTTAATGATAGACACCATGTGAAGGTAAGCCAGAGCCATCTATCAAAAAAAATTTGCAAGCCACAAAACTTGCTGTACCTATTTCCAAGACACAAAACTTGCGGTACTTGTTTGCAAGCTACAAAACTTGCTGTACTTATTTGCAATCCACAAAACTTGCTGTACCCATTTGCAAACCACAAAACTTGCTGTACCTATTTGCAAGCCACAAAACTTGCTGTACCTAATTGCAAGCCACGAAACTTGCTTTACCTAATGGCAAGCCACAAAACTTGTTGTACTTGTTTGCATGCCACAAAACTTGCAGAACTTTTTTTTCAAGCATTTTTACATTATTTCATATTCAAACTAAGAAAATATTAACTAATACAACATCAGCAGCTAGCTGGATTTTTTTCATCTTATGCTCAACAGCTTCAATATCAGTTTTATCTTGTTTTCAGTAAGAAATAGTGTAAATTCTATCATTTTGTCTTTTTCTTTTTCTAGTCTACCATCATAAATGATAGACTTTGATGAGTCAGTATCATACCATTCATGACAGAGTTTTCTGCCAGCAATTTTTTCAGACATCACATCATCTAAATCTTCAAGTTGTTTTGCAGATAAGTGTTTGTATAAATTCATCTTTTCAATGATAGTTAAGATTTCAAAGCATTATGAAGCATTTTATATAAACCCTTACAAAAAAAAAAAAATTAAAAACTTTTATTTAGAATTGGCTTATTTAATATAAAATACTTTTATAAAATATAAATAAGCATTAAAGTTTTTCAAAAACAAAGAACAATCATAAAAAAATATTTCAATTTATACATTAACCTGCAGAAGATTGTGCTGCAGGAACTTAAAGTTAAAAATTGATGTAAACGACAAAAATAAAATGAAATTGGGGTTAAATTTATAGTATAATTTTAATGAGATAGACTATGCACTGCTAACAAAGAAATAGTTTTTTAACATACCAACCAAAGCAGATGTAGATGCAGCTAAAAATCAAAAAAAAAATGTAATTAACAAAATAAATGACTTTTTTAGAAAAATCAAAACACTGCTGAAAAATATTTAGTTTTTAAACTTACTATTTGTGAAAAGGATGTACTCAACCAAAAAAATATTTGATTTAGGCATTAAATTATTACAGAGATTAAAAAGTAATAGCTTTTAAACTTAGTAACTGTGGCAGATATAGATTAAAAAAAGGTGTAACCAAGTAAAAAAGTATTAGAAATTGGCCTTACATACACATATTACATACAAAGTGAACAAAGAAATAGCTTTTAAACTTTCTAAATGTGGTAGATGTTGATGAAACTAAAAGTAAAAAAAAGCTGTAATCAAAAAGAAAATTGAGTTTGATATTAAATCTATAGTATAGCCATAACAAAAGAAATGATATCGACATCCACAGCAGGTGTCGATAAAGCTTAATGTAAAAAAGGTGTAATTAATGGCAAAAAAGAAGGATGTAGATGCAACTAATATCACGAAAAGATGCAATATAAAAATAAACAAAAAAAGTTGAAAATGGGATTAAATCAATACATTACTGAAAAAGAATTGACTCTAAAACTTACCAACTGTTTCAGATGTAGATGGAACTAAAACTAAAACTAAAAACAAAATGGATGTTATCTACAAAAAAAAAAGATATTGGCAATAAATCTTTCACAATTTAAAAAATAATAGCTTTTAAATTTACTAATGACAGTTGTTTAAGAAATGACTTGAGATAAAAAACATATGAATTAAACCAAAGCATACATTAAATTTCTACTTATATAAACATGACCGAAATTGCAATATACAAACTTACCAGTGGAAGGCTGAGTTGATTGGACTAAAATTAACAAGAAAACTGTATATCAAAATAAAAAAAACACCTTAAATTTGACAACAGTAAGTGAATAAGTGACAACAATCAAACAAGTTCTGGATAATGTGCAACAACTTTATTGATTAAGTATATAATGAAAACATAATTACACAAGTAAACATTAAGAAAGGTTGTATAATGATTTAAACAATAAAAGAAAGATTATAAAAAAGATATCTTTTGTATTAAAAAAATTTTAAGACATCAAAATGTTTATTTCATTATGAATAACATTAAAGATTATATTGTTCATGTCATCCCTATATGTCACTATTATCTATCATATCTATACATCTATACATCACTATCATATCGATACATCTATACATCACTATCATATCTATACACCTATACATCACTATCATTCCTATACACCTATATATCACTATCATATCTAAACATTAGAAATGTTTGTGTAATGATTTAAACAATAATTAAAAGACTAAGTATTATACAATAGATAAATCATAAAAGATTAACATACCAAATGTTCTCAATGTAGATAAAACATAAGGTAAAAAAAATGTAAAGAACAAAACATACATAGTTTTTGCCAACAAATCTATACATAGTTGTTTTTTAAAAAAAGTTTTCAAACTTACCAACCATAGCAGATGGTGACAAAGCTAAAGGTAAAAAAATTAACCAAAATAACTTTGATTTCGACATTAACTCTATACAGATCTGAAAAAATTTGCCACTGGCAGATGTTGATAAAACTAAAAGAAAAATAAAGTGTCATCAAATAAAATAAAAAAAGGTATTAAACTTATAGTATAGCTTTAAAGAATAAGTAGAAACACCTAATAAAAAAAATACTTATTTAACTTACCAACTGCATCAGATGACGATGAAGCTAATGTTAAAAAAGGTGTAATATATAAAAAAAAATACACATTTTTGGCAACAAATCCAATAAAACAATTTTGTAAAGAGCAAAGAAAAGTACTGTGTAAATAACAAATAAAATAAAGGTGTAAATAACGAAAATTAGGGGTTACTTAAAAAAAAGCATTGAGTAGGTTTTATCTAGTCAATGATTTTCAAAAGTTTAACAAAAAAATACTTGTAAAAGTGATAAACAATAGTATTATTATGAAAAAACATATGAAATTACTATCTGTTTGATTACCCAGTTCATTTATATTATTCATTTTTTTAATTACTAACAATCTAAGTGAAACATTATGCAATAAACATTTTTAAAGAAAAAAAAAACTCTTTCCCCCTCAGCCCCACCTCGGCTATTTTTGAAAACAGAAATTAGGTACCAAAAGTGTTTAACTGAATTAACTAATTGCTACATAATATTTTTTCATGAAATTTGGCAGGTGCAAAAGAAATGCATGTAGAAACTTATTTAAAAAATCAAAAAAGCGGAATATAGATTCCTTCAACAATAATTGAACAAGTAAACATCAACATAATTTTCATGAGCAAAATAGTCAAAAAAAAGGTATGACAATCATGTAAAAAAATAACACAAAAAACAAGCCTAACTCTTCTTCTTTCTGAAAATATACTATGTGTATATACGTTTCTGTAAAAAAAAACAACAAAAAATCGTTTGCCTAACCCTACTTAAAATAATGAGACGGGAAATCCGCTAAAAAAAAATCGGAAAAACAGAAATTAGGTACTAAAAGTGCTAAACTGATTTAACTATCTGCTACACAATATTTTTCAATAAAATTTGGTATGTGCAAAGAAAATGCATGTAAAAACTTATTTAAAGAATCAAAAAAGCGGAATAAAGAGTCCTTCGACAAGAATTTGACATGTAAACACCAACCTATTTTTCATGAGCCAAATGCTCCAAAAAATGGTAAGACAACCGTACGTAAAAATAACATAAAAAACAAGCTTAACTCTTCTTCTTTCCAAAAATATACTATGTTTATATATGTTTCCGAAAAGAAACTTCTCAAAAATACGTTTGCCTTAGGCTACCTAAAAAAAACGTCAAAAAAACGAGTCACAAAATTTTAGCACAAAATTCGGCTCCGTAAATCGCTATTTCCGCGTACCTAATTGAGTAGGTTTTATCTAGTCAATGATTTTCAAAAGTTTAACAAAAAAATACTTGTAAAAGTGATAAACAATAGTATTATTATGAAAAAACATATGAAATTACTATCTGTTTGATTACCCAGTTCATTTATATTATTCATTTTTTTAATTACTAACAATCTAAGTGAAACATTATGCAATAAACATTTTTAAAGAAAAAAAAAACTCTTTCCCCCTCAGCCCCACCTCGGCTATTTTTGAAAACAGAAATTAGGTACCAAAAGTGTTTAACTGAATTAACTAATTGCTACATAATATTTTTTCATGAAATTTGGCAGGTGCAAAAGAAATGCATGTAGAAACTTATTTAAAAAATCAAAAAAGCGGAATATAGATTCCTTCAACAATAATTGAACAAGTAAACATCAACATAATTTTCATGAGCAAAATAGTCAAAAAAAAGGTATGACAATCATGTAAAAAAATAACACAAAAAACAAGCCTAACTCTTCTTCTTTCTGAAAATATACTATGTGTATATACGTTTCTGTAAAAAAAAACAACAAAAAATCGTTTGCCTAACCCTACTTAAAATAATGAGACGGGAAATCCGCTAAAAAAAAATCGGAAAAACAGAAATTAGGTACTAAAAGTGCTAAACTGATTTAACTATCTGCTACACAATATTTTTCAATAAAATTTGGTATGTGCAAAGAAAATGCATGTAAAAACTTATTTAAAGAATCAAAAAAGCGGAATAAAGAGTCCTTCGACAAGAATTCGACATGTAAACACCAACCTATTTTTCATGAGCCAAATGCTCCAAAAAATGGTAAGACAACCGTACGTAAAAATAACATAAAAAACAAGCTTAACTCTTCTTCTTTCCAAAAATATACTATGTTTATATATGTTTCCGAAAAGAAACTTCTCAAAAATACGTTTGCCTTAGGCTACCTAAAAAAAACGTCAAAAAAACGAGTCACAAAATTTTAGCACAAAATTCGGCTCCGTAAATCGCTATTTCCGCGTACCTACCTAAAAATATTTTCTATTGGACATATTAAATTATTAAATAGAATACGTTAATGTAGTGAGATTAAGTAGTTTTTCATGTTGTTTTTTTTGTTTTTGTTTTTGTTTTTGTTTAACTGTTTTTTATTGTTTAAATTATTCTTTTTATAAATTATTATTTTGCTTTCTTTGTTTTTGTTAATGTATTTTTGTCAATATTAGTTTTTATTATGAAAATTATGAATCCTAATTTTTTTTTAATTTAGTCTATTAACTTATAATGGCATTACTTGGTATGCAATTTTTAACAACTTTGATCATTTCACTATTCATGGTTAAACTTTCATCATTTTACTCAATTGCTAGATGGATTATTTGTGGGAGACTTTATCGCTACTTACATCCAACGAATGAACATTTAAGATCATTGGTAGGAAAGTTACCTCTCCATTCTAAAGGTACTAGAACATTAATATCTTCTAATGTTTAAAAACTTTATTTTGTTTAATTATTCACTTTTTATTCTATTCAAGTTATCTGTTTAAAATAGTTTAAATAAACAATTTATCTGTTCAAAATATTTTAAATAAGTATAACATCTATCTACAGGTAGATGGGCTAAGAGAAAAACAAGCCACTACAGCTAAGCTCTAGCTAAAATGCTATAGCTAAACCAATTTAAACTTAACTAGTATGGAGTAAACATTTTATGCTTTTAAATGTTCAAACAAATTGGGGTAAAATCATCTTTAGTATTATTGTAGTCTAAACTTATTTTTTTAAAACCAAACTTTTCAGCATAAGTACTATAAAATATATATATATATTCCATACTAAATTTCCTAAGTTATATTTTATATAAAAGTAATAAAAGGTTACGTCTTTTATAAGTATTATATTTTTTATTACTGAAACAAGTTCAATAGTGATGTAATTTTTGGGTGCATTTGACAAATGAACATAAAAGTCCACACCACAACTAGAAATAATATTATTGTTTTATTTTAATATTATATAGGACTTGAGTTAATAAATTAACAAATAAATTTAAAAAAAAACATTGAGTTTACTCATAATAGTATATAGCAATGTTCAGAGGCGTATTTGAATTTTTGGCGCCCTGGGGCACTGTTTCTTTAAGCCCCCTTTTTTTTAAGAATAACTGTTGACTATGGGCTTATTTTCAAAAAACAAAAACATTTTTTATACAAACATATGTTAAGTTATATTAATCACTATAGAAAATTATAATTTTCTATGTGAGTTTTGTTTGATTTGTCAAAAGCACTAGCATATACTAATTTTCAAATGCAATGACATATACTAATTTAATATAAGTCCTTGAAACACTGTTATTAAAAGTTCCTTTGGAAAGCTGAAAGATGCTCGAGCATTCATATAGTATATGCATATAGAATATTCATATACCATACTAATATTTTTTCATGGTTGCATCAACTCGTTTTATAATTAGAGAATAATAGCTTAAAATGAGAATTGAAAATAGTGAAGTTTAGTTTGTTAAATTTAACAATTTTCAATTTTTCTTATGGAAGTTATTAGAAATATGTTTACTAAGTGATTTGAACACTATTACAAATAGTTGTAGTTGTGCTCTATTGAAGTTGAGTGAACCCAAAACACAATTTATTTGTTTCTTCCAATGCTTCGATCAGTTACTCAGTAATAACTTGCGGTGAGCAGGGTAATATATGATAATAATGAGCCAATAATATTAGTTAATCTCTCTTGAAATGAAAAGATTAGGCTTTCAGTTCAAGACAACCTACCCATACCCAAACCCTCAGTTGATGTACAGAGATGTATTTATATTTTTGGTGCCCTGAGACAATGATTTTTTAACCACCTCTTTTACAAATAACTGAATACTTTAATATGGGGTGATAATTAAAAAAAAAAAAACTTTTTTAATACAAACATATATATAAGGTTAAAATCACTAAACATTAAAAATCTATATATAGTTTTCTATGTGAGTTTTGTTTTGCAAATGTATTTATAATGTCATTAAAGCTCATATCTATGGTAAGTGTCGATTCAATAGATATAATTGCTAACCTATTAAGACGTTCACTTGTCATTTGCAACCTCAAATAAGATTTAACCCTCTTTAATGCTGAAAATAATATCTCCGCTGAACAATTGGACGTTGGGCAGCATAGATATATTCTTAATGCTATATCTACATAAGAAAACAGCTCCTGAAGTTTTTTAGTTCTGATCATTTTACAAATATCTATTATAGTTTTAGGTCTTACGTTTTCAGTTATATACTCATTAAATAACTTCTGAATTGTATACACTCGTTAGCAAATGAATACAAAAGATAATTTTTATATACATTTTGAAGTACTGCTTTTTTGTAAACTTCTGCTGGCGAAAGTTTTATTATTTGAAATAAAAAATTAAATTTTTTATTGCCTTCATCATAGCACAATTTTCTTCTTTCTAGTTCAGAATAAAGTTGATCAATTATAGCATAATATGTATTAATTCTTAAAGAGTCTCGAATTTTAAAATTTGTTTCTTTTTCTCTTTTTTCATCTGCAGTTAGTTTTACAGCTGTTTTAAGACTGTTTAGTTTCAAATATAGCTCGTTAGCTTCTGATCTTGTAATACTATATTTCTTGGTAGATATTGGTAGATTTGATAAAAGACAGAGCATTAACTATTTTAATCCAATTTTTGTTTAAACTAATACTTGCATCAGGTCTTGCTGACCACCTGGTACAGCTCACATGGTACAGCATATTATATATTAAGTGAGATTTTGGGTTTGAAAAAGCTTTGTACATAATGGGTGCCACATTTCCCTACAATGCAACAAAAACACCTTCGAATGCAACTTTCTCAACAACATTTGGAGCAAATTCGAAAGGATAAAAAAGAATTTTGTGCGTTGATTCATCACTATGGATGAGACAGATTGTAGACGAATCACGGCAAGAATGTTCAAAAAGTGCATCAACACCAGAAATCATAGCAAAAATACAGGGTTTGGTTTATAAAGACAGGCGATGGACTGTGAATGGGCTAGTTGACACCGTACACATCTCACATAGTGCAGCATATAATATTTTAAGTGAGATTTTGGGTTTGAAAAAGCTTTGTGCATAATGGGTGCTGCATTTGCTAACAATGCAATAAAAACACCTTCGAATGCGACTTCGAATTCACTCAACAACATTTGGAGTGAATTCGAAAGAATAAAAAAGATTTTTGTACGTTGATTCATCACTATGGATGAGACTTGGGTCTATCATCATGATCCTAAATCAAAACAAGAGGATAAAAAGCAGTGTGAGCCCGAATATTCGGCTCCAAAGCGAGTTCGTGTCCAGAAATTGGCCAAGAAGGTGTTAGCATCAGTTTTTTGGAATGCAAAAGGAAATTTGTTGGTGGATTACCTCCAAACTGGCAAAAGAATCAACTCTGATTATTATTGTAGCCTTTTCAACCAATGGGATAAAAAAATTGAAAAGTGAAAAAAGAACCAGTTTGCTGAAGAAAAAAATCATTTTTCATCAGGATAATGCAACCGCCTACACAGCTCAAAAAACCATCGTCAAATTTACTGAATTAAAGTACGAATTGCTGCAACATCCACCCTATTTGCCAGATTTGGCTCCCTCTGACTTCTGGCTGGACAGCATTTTTCATCAAGCGAAGAGTGATAGCAGCTGTGCAGAGTTATTATGCAGGCCTTCCGGAGAATCACTATAGAGATGGTATTCACAAATTTGGAGGAATGTTGGAATAAAGGTATTGAGCTTCTGGGAGAATATGCTGAATAATAATATGCATTTCAAGCCATAAAATTATGTTTTTCATTTCTATTCTAGAAACTTATTGACTGGCCTAGTAAATATTTTGAAGCAGAATAAAAAATTCAGAAGCATAAATACAACAGCCAACAGCACATTAACTAACAAGATTTAAAGAGTTTTAATGTCGAACTTGGTACAAATGTTGCTAAAGGATTAACTTTTTTAATGAGAGCTTGAAGTCCTGCATATCTACCAGACATTAGGCGCGCTGTCGTAACTTTGACCTCAACAATTGTTAAATCTAATATAAAAACTAAAAATACAGCATCTGCTAATTCTTCAGATTTATGACCAGAATCGGGTAAATACCCTAAAAATCTTTCTACCGGACAGCCATTCTTTTGAACATACTGAAAAATAAATGACACTTGATCTACATGGGTAATGTCAGGAGTAGAATCAATGTTGATGAAAAAGTATTTAGCTTCCTTTGTTTTATTCACGATTTGTTGAGTAACATTATTTGCCATTATACTTAAGAACTGATCATATATTTTAAATGATAGATAGGATGTTGAACCTTTTTCTATATTTCCAAACTTCTCAATGTGTTGTGCTATAAAAGGATCAAACTGAGCAATAAGCTCTTAGCTAATCATGTTGTCCCCATTATGAACAGATCCAAAACAGTCATCATCACCTCTAAAAGTCATTACACGGAAAAGAAAGGGATTTCACAACAGCTACAATTCTTGTCAATACATTTTTCCAATAATTTACTTCTATTTCTACTTGGTACTTTAGCTTTTGATCAATTCGATTTAATACTTATTTTCTTTTTTTCATATTCATTACACACAATTTGTGGTGTTGTGAATTTTGATGGCGCTTAATTTTTTCTTCTACTTTTATATACAAGATGGTTAAAAAAGTATGGCAAAAGAAAATATCCCTCAAAAGGCAATCAAAGCCCAGTTGCCAGTTTAATATAATTAATAAATAATTTATTCTGTTTATCACTTCAAATTATAAAAAATAAAATAAAAAACAAACTGATTAAAGTATGTTAGCACAAAATTTATTAAAAGTTTAGAGCATTTTTAAAGGGTTTTTTTTTTTAATGTAAAGAGAATCTTTGAAAAATTATTTCTTTTTTTAAAACTAAATAGCTGTGTCAATACCTACTAATAATTAACAATTAAGGATTGAATATTTAATTAAAAAAACTATAAATCATTTATTAAAAAAAAATTATATCTGGATTACTAGTAGGAATAGACCTCGGAACTTCGGAGCCAGAGTGATAAGCTTATCCATCATGCTATCGCTACATAAATAGTATATTTAAAATAGATAAATAATTTGTTTAGACAATTGACTTTTAGTATCAAATCAACATTTTTGGATGAATAATTGGCACATAATTACTTGTAATTCGCAAGTTTAATTTGATCGCCTTTTGAGTGATATTTTCTTCTGCTAACCAAATATTTCTGAAAAAAGCTAAAGATATTTATTAAGTCTATAAGAAGGTCTGTGATTTGAACATAGTTATAATATAAAAATTTTTGTGAAATAATATAAAATGACTATTTTACAATTTTCTAAAATTTTTGCATTCTGAAAGCTGGCGAAAATATAGTCGGCAATAATTTGCTGACCTTAATCTT